CAAAATGAGGTCGACACGGCCTTTTCAGAGAGAGGGGTACTCCACAGACTCTATTCGACCGTGGCGCTTATTATACTTACAAGAATGTCAAAGTTACTTAATAAAAATTCGGGGACACATAGTGATGGGGGGGGTGGGGTCAGGGTGCAACCCGCTCGTGGTGTCATGGGTGTCGACTCCTTAGGCCAGGAAGGACGCTGTTGTGTTCATCAAGCCTACGACGGGGCTACCCTTCTGTGGGAGGTGATGAGGTCTCCCGCGGTTGACAGCGGCACATTCAGTCTCTGCGTGCGGGAAAGAGAATGGGACACTTGAATGCGGACCGATTAGTAGGCCAAAAGGAAGAGGATAAAAGACCAACCCAAAGGACTTTCAGCGACAGATATGATACACTCCCTGATACCAACGCAAGGTACCAGGTAAATCGAAATCCTTTGGAAATTGGTTCACTTTTACCTGGGCCTTCATGCAGTCACGCGTGGTACAATCTCACGCAAGGTTAAGACCGGTTATAATTTCCTTTTCCCTCCAAAGTTTGAAGGAGAATATCGGAGGAAATCGGAATCCTTGGTGCACCTGGGAGGGAATGCGCTCTTCCTCTCCTCTTTTACGACGGGGTGTTAACGGTACGTCGGCGTCGTAAACGTAAGCTGTGTTGTCAAGCCGGCAACGTGTTCCTTTGTTTGGCCTAATACTGCCTCTTTAATATAGTACTTTCAATGCCACGAATAGAGTTCGTAAAATTTTGCATACACCATTCAACGGTTTCACGAAAACCAAACTTGCAGTAGTCGATAATATTTCAAGTTTTTATCTTTCTTATACTTGCAATTCAAAAATATTTACTAGTTTATTTCCAGTTGTACAAGTGCACTCGAAACACCCAAACAATTGAAAATTTCTACAACTTACACACTACATGTGTCACTATCCACAAGGTCCTGATTGCAACCATATTAATTTATAGTAAACATAACTAAATTCTATAAAAATATGTTAGTATGTATAACCCTAGTAAACGTGAATTACACCTGGCCTCCCTCTCCCCTGCGTCGTATTTAAACCGTGAAAAGGAAAAAACAAACGTTAATGTTGAAACAGTACCTTCTTATACAAAGGAGACAAGAGGTGCGAAGTATTTCGTATTTGTTGTCGTGTCTCGATGCCACTGTCTCCAGAGATCTACTCAGGGAGCAAGAAATACCATTTTGTAGGTACAACATCAGGCAACATATCTTGTGAACATCAAAAGGTATCAAAGTGGTGTCGCTCCGTCTGCGTGTGTTACTGCAGGCCGACCGCGTAGTATTTGTAGCAGTCTATCACTTTCACGTAAGCCGGTTTTTAAGAGATTTTTTCATGGCGTCAGAGGAAGAAGGTTCAGGAAACTTAAGGAGGATGGTGGTTATATTAAGGGAATTTGGGGCAGCGTGCAGTCAGGTGGTGGGGTTTGTGGTTGCAGGGGGCGTTTGAGGTGCGCTTTATCTGTGTGTTTTGATAGTCTTGGGTGGGGGTTTTGGGGTTCTTTGATCCCAATTTAAAGTCCTCGACTAATAAGAACCTAATTAGCTTGCGTTTGGGGTTTTACATGATGGGTGCCAAGGATGTCGGTCCTGTAGTCGATCGCTTGATCGGCGCGTTATCTGGATTTGGGAATGTCAGACTTGTACTAGACAGATGTGCGGTTTACATTAGGCGGGTTTCTGAATAATATGTCAAGGAATAATGGTACTCCTCGGGACTTGTGTTTGACCTCTTCTGGTTAAGGTTTGCCTCAAATATGAATCTACGAATTTTACCTGCGGTCTAAAGTCGTGTGTTGCAGAACGTGATGAAACCGCTTTACTGCGGCTAATTGGTGGAGCGCGTGACCAGCGACCCACCCAATAGTCCCTAAAGACTCCTTTCAGTTTGTAACAAGTGTATCATATAAGGTGGGTATAGTTTTACGTTATGTTTGCTATCTCGTGTTTTTTTTGTAATCGAGCTGAATAGTCCGTGCGGTGAGGCTGGAAAGTTGCTTATCTTGTATAACTACTGGGATATACACATTAAGCACATCTGTGCTTCTTCGTAATAGGTCAAAACGCGCCCTTACAGGCAGTCAGGCACGGCAATCAGTGCAGGCTGAACCGTGTGCCTGTGGTTATAGGTGACGCTTTTTCTTCTTTTTTAGATTCGAGTCTCCGTTTTATTAATTTTGTGTCGTCATGTTTTGGTCTCATACCCGAGGTCTTATCAGAGTTTATGTGTGTACCGGTGTGTCTTTCCTAAGTTTGGAATCATGGAAGTACTACGGCGTGTTTGCCTAAGGGTTGAACATAAAGTTATTCTTAGACTGTTTTCTTAAGTGTGAACAGTGAGAGCGCTCTTGGTGAACCAAAAAGTTACGTTGTTGTGTTTACCGAGCGAAGGTGTCTATATATTTATTGTACTTATTTTTATTTGTGTATTGTGAGATTTGTGCTCGTTTTTTCATTGGGATACATTGTATACATTAAAACTAGGTGTGTATAAACAAAAGGCAAATTTTGGAGACTTGGACGTTGTGTTTCGCGAAAGATCGCGTTTACCTAGCTTGGTACGCTAGGACTACTACACTGCATAATAGCTGCTGGTGATCTTGTGCCTAGTCGGCTTATGCAATGTATAATCATGGATATTTATATGAGATTTTTTTATTAGTATATGGTTAGTCTACAGAGGTAGCGTTAGATTTCGGGTTAGTGTAAGCCTCCGCGTTGGTAGGGTGGGCTCCCATCTAAGAACGCAAGTACTGCACAATTGCGGAGTTACATTTCGTTTAAATTCTGTTCAGGTCCGCGGCTTGTCTCTAGGTTACTTCTCAGGACGTCTGCGCGATTTGGAAGTCCTGTGTGAGTGCTAGAGTGACTATCAGTAACGGTGAGAAGGCTTGTCCTTTACGTGCGTTTTTATGTTCGGATATTGTTTTATTATTATATAATTTGTTCCAGTAATGTCGTCTGGTTAAGCTGTGGTAACTACTTACGAAACACACATGTGTTTCTCTGCCGTCCCGTTTGTTTGGTTCTCCAAAATTTACCACCTGACGATAAGGGACCATACCGTTTACTGTCTTTGACGTAATATAATATAGCGTTGTATTTGAGCAGGGGAGACACGCCTCGAATGTATGTTCCATAAGACCTACAGACATACTTCAACAACACTCACCACCTCCCTCGTCGGATCGTCCACATCGAATCGGAAGTCAGATTAGCTAGTCAACCGTGATGCTTCGTGTCACCCGATCTGTCACTCGACAGTTGCCCCCCTCGGGGCAGCCAGTAATAGCGGCTATAAGTGTAGATGTTTATCAAACATCCAGCGGCTAGTTCCTCTCGACCTAGCCCACTTTCAGCTTATTACCTGTTATTTACGGCTCACTTCATATGTGTCCTGTCCGCCCTCTCTCCTCTAGTCCGTAGTCAGGGACGGAGCTTCAGACTGCCTCTAATTGCGTCGAGACGTACTGTAGATGGACTACGAGGCGTGGAGGACAAATCGCTCGACTGGCCTGACGGCGTTTTACGCATATGCTTCACAGTACTTGCGTTCTTTAGTATGGGTAGTCAAACCCCGCGCGAGTACACTAACCGAGCATCCTTGTACCTCCTCTGTAGACCTAAGACGATATCTCACTCTATTTAAATCGTTCATGCTTCAGCCCACTCGCAGTCCCCCGTCAGATTTTTTGGGTGTGCTGCGTTACGTGTGCTAGGTACGTGTCTTTCGCCCAAACACAAACGCGTCCTAAGTCCTCGCACACATAAGAGCAGATTTCAACAGAGCACGGAAAACCATGTACAAACACACACCTCTGGCCGGCTTACTTTTATAGAGTCAGATAGTGATATGTGCACTCCGGGTTGGAAAAACTCAGTGACATGAGAAGAGGGAGATAAGTTAAACACCCAAACACAAACTACAACTTACCTTTAACAACTAACCACCGTAAAGAAACATTCAAGTCTAGATTTGAATATCCATGTTTAAATCTACGCTGCACAATCTCCTGATCTGCTCACACTTTGATGTGCGCGCTAGCACTTCAGCACGTACAACATGAAAAAAAATGCAAGCATGCTTGGACACACACACACACACACACACACACACACACACACACACACACACACACACACACACACACACACACACCAGGACTCCTAGGCAGACAGGTTTGCATGCCTCTCGCGCCACCGAGCACTCTGGTCAGCTTCTGACAGAATAAATCTCTGACTCGCCGAGGAGGAGGAGGAGCGAGGAGGAGCACATTGGGGGCCACGCTGCCCATCAATCATATCCTGTTACTGCAAGCTGTCAGCCGAGCTGGATGGATGGAAAATAACAACCGAATAAAAAAAGAAGAAGCCATCCCTTGTTGTTCAAGCAGAGGTCTAGAAACGGCAGCGTGCTGCTACAGTCAGGAGTGCATGTCGAGAAAGATTTGAGAATTGTCATGTGACCTCCACACACACACACTCACACCTCAACCTCACAGTCGCATCAGCCTGTCAAGTCAGGCTCCAGCAGTCCCCAGGTGCGGGCCAACAGTTTCATCTGGCCTGCTGCAGTGTATTTTACAGAGCCTGCGTTTTGTTTTGCTAACTGTTGAGAGCGATGCGCTGGCGGAATGGAGGGGGAAAGAGCATGGGCGATGTAGCGACAGCAAAACCATGCAAATGCATTCCTTTCTGAAATTGAGTTATACATCTTCTGCGAGTGGAAATGACACAAACGGCGTCTGTTTACAAAGATGTATCTTCCCTGCCTGCCTGGCTTTGACATTTGTCTCCTCAACAACATTTCTAGAGAACTACACAAGCCTGTGGCTTTCAATTAACAGATGATGGCATGAATGTGTAATGATGTAAGCTAAGAAAAGAGTTGGTACAACCCATTATTGGAAAATAAAAGCCCCTCCCACACAGCCATCAAAGCATTATGGGTAATGAAGTGAAAGAGCAGTGATTTACCGACAGGCTCCTCTGCGCCACTGGCCTCTGTTGGAACGCCGCTACCCGCTTCCTCTTCCTCCTCTTCTTCCGTCTGGTCATCGCCGCTGGGCTCCCCACTGCCTGAGCCGTCGAAGGACACGGCGGCGGCGGGGGGGGGCGGTCTGCTGCGGGGGGTGGAGGTGGTGGTGGACTGCGGCGGCTGGGTGTGGATGATGTGGTGTTGTTTTGCTCTGTTGTTGATGAGGGTGGAAGAGATGGTGGTGGCAGGGGGCCACTCAGTGGTCGATGGCTCTTCCGTCCTCGGAAGCGGGATGGCCCACACCATGTTAGGGTGGAAGGAGGTGGGGGTGGTGATGGTGGCAACAGAGCTTGAGCTGGGGGTGGTGGCGAGGGGGTTGGGGGTGGGTCGGTCTGCCGGCTCAGAGATGGTGTCTGGTGGAGGGAAGGGGAGGAAGCAAGGAATGGATGAATGACTGAGCAAAGATGAAAAATGTTTGATTTTGCTTCACCTAACTAACTCCATTACAACTTCAATAGTCACACCAGTAGTACAAATCAACAATCATTAGCCAATATAAACCCACTTAAAGAAATACTTAACCCCCAAAATGATAATTTGTATATACATTTCTTACACCGTTACCTTGAATTCTTGAACAAAATCTTGTTTGTCTTACATGCCTACACCCTGTACAACAATCCAACTGAGTTTACTGAATTTAAGTAAATGGGGCTGTTTTATCAAAGCATTTGTTAAAAAAAGTTCACCCAACTTGTGCAGTATAAGTTAATGCGCTAAAGGCTAGCCCGGAAAAGTTTTAAGGGGCCCCATTATGCTCATTTTTAGGTTCATATTTGGATTTTGTGCCTCTACTGTGACATGTCTCCATGCTTTAATGTTCAAAAAGCACTTTATTTTTCTCATACTGCCTGTGCTGCAGCACCTCTTTTCACCCTCTGTCTGAAACCAGAGCCCAGTCTGCTCTGATTGGTTAGCTGGCTGATTCTGATGTTTGTTTTTTTTTGTTTTTTTTTACTTTGATTGTCATTACATAGTACAGGTACTAGTAACGAAACGGTTTCTCTGCATTTGACCCATCCTAGTGTTAGGAGCAGTGGGCTGCCATTATGTACGGCGCCCGGGGAGCAGTGTAAGGAACGGTGCCTTGCTCAGGGACACCTCTGTAGCACTTGGTCTTGCCGGGACTTGAACTGGTGACCTTCCAGTTGCCAAGCCAAGTCCCTATGGACTTCGCACCACCGATGTTCTTGATCAACCGCTTAGAGATGTCCCGCCCCTTAGTCTATCACGCTCAATGTGTTGGAGCGCTGGCCATTAGAAGCACAAGCCTTAGATTGATGTCACTATGTTACTGAAGTAAACAAAGGAGTCAAATGGAGGCGTTTCAGGCAGGGAGAGAAACTCCCTCTGGAGGGAACTTTGCAGACCATTTAAATGCACAAAAAGCTGTATAACACACTACAGGAAAGGGAATCCCCCAAAAAGCATAATATGGCTTCTTTGAATAGTAAGTTATTCTTGATTTCAGATTCCTCGTTCAACCATGAGGCATTCTTGAAAAACAAAAATGTCTTTAAGAATTCAAGGAAACACAGGGTGATTTATTGATCTACAAATTACAAATTGGAGTTCAAGTATTCCTTTAATCTATTATTACAACCTAGTGTTGACAATAATTTCTTACCTCAGCTTTTACTGAATGTCCGTTTAAAGGTAGGGTAGGTAAGAAAGGAGAAACTAGCTCGAGTTTGCTGGAATTTGAAAGTATGCAGCCGAAAAAAATCTGCCCCTTCGTTACAGAGCCCCTCCTCCAACACACACGAACGCGCAAATGACCAATGAGGGCACGAGATAAGTGTGTGTGCACAGATGGAAGGCAGACAGGCAGGCAGCTTTGCATGACATTCTTCTGGACGTGTTTCATTGTGGTGATAGTGAGGGTAGTCGATCCCTTGTTTAGCAAGACAGTAGTGACGGCCATCTTGGTGACGTGTGTTGTTCTGCGAGACCAGAGATGTAGTTAATTGAGCGTTTCACACAAACAAAATGTGTTACTTCACAGTTTTACGACACATTTTTTTTTTTTGACTTGCAAAATTATCTTTTAAATTGACAAACATCATATGTGTAATTTGTGGCACAATTCAAACGGGATCGAAAGATTAATCTTTCTCTCTCCATTGACTTCAATACATCATTTTTTCGAAATAAGGTCCCATGGAGGTCCACCGGATGGGGAGGGACTTCGGCACTCTATGTGTATACGAACTTTCAATATAATCATATTAATAATTCAAACTGTTAATGCACCATAAAATACCTGTCAGCGTTAATTAATTAATGTTTNCACCCACACACACACACACACACACACACACACACACACACACACACACACACACACACACACACACACACACACACACACACACACACACACACACACACACACACACCGTCCACCCTTTCACAAGTGCTTCGTTTCTCTTACAGTCTTTCAATCTGATCTCTCCCTCTGTACATTCCCGCATCTCTGTGTTTATGTTTGTACATCAGTGCCCATGTTGTTTAACTGTAAAAGTTGTTGACCTTACATCACGTCTGGGACATGTGACATTGTGCAGGACGTGCATGTGTTTGTCTGTGTGTGTTTGCCAGACAGGAAGTGTGAACCATGTGCACAGTATGTTGAGCATTACAGTCCAACAAGCTTGTCATTGAATCTGAGACGAATGTGCTTTTACTCTGGGAACACACAGCCTAGAAAAAACGGTGCTTATTCTCATGGTGCATTTGTGTGCTGATGACATGTAGACATGAGTTATCATCGCTTTGTTTAGAAGTCTCAGAGCTACTTGGCACTCAAATACTTTAAACTATGTGCACATATAGACAAACAATGTGATGCATGCCAAAAAATCCTAATCCAATGTATTACATTACATGCATTTCTATGTAGCTTTTAGTCCAGATACTTCACCAAATAATACAACAGAAACATTAGGATAAGATAAGGATCCAAGAACGATATTTTGTGAATTATATCGCAAGATCAGAAAGTCATTTTTGAATAGTATAACATAATAATATCCTGGAAAAAAGCTGTGTATTTAGGATTGTTTTCCATAATAAAATGAGCTCCAGCAGTTTAAAATAGCCACGGAAAGGAAGTGGAAAATGCTTGAGCAACATAATGCAAATGAACAGTCCTTTGATAAAGTAGCATGCCCAAATCTGCACAGTTGAAAACTAGCCTAACAATGTTTTCTTTAATCTGCATGCTTCTTTTATGCAAAGATAAAGTGAATATGGCTTGCTCTATCTGTGAGGGGTAAATGATGTTAACTGCATTAGACTGTAACCAAAATATACCCAGATTATATAAATGACTGGTACAAAACCTGCCCTCCCCCTCATGTTCCCCACTAATTACTCATAACCTCAGAACAACTGTGCAAGCTGGCTCACTCGCTGCAAGACTACACACAGAAACTGACACCATTTAATGATTTTAAGAACAAAACATCTGAGCAAAGCAGGGTGTTCTCTGGGTTCCTAATAACACATAATGTTCTGCTTTTTAGCAACACAGGTTGTTTTGAAGATGAAATCCTTTCTGACCTCCTTTGAGCTGCTCCTAATTGCGTTCAACCTGATCCAACTATACTTTTATTAAATACAGGATTACAAACTGGATAAGTCATACATCCTCAGGTTTCAAATAAAACTGAAGAGCAAATCCAACATACTGTCAAAAAAAGAGATAAGAACAGGAAATGAAAACATTTTAAAGACAGCTTAAAGGTAATTAGGTAAACATTGAATTGACATTTTAATACATTTCATGAATTGTCTTATGTCATTGTTTGCTTTCAAGTTCTCAAATGAGAATATTGATACCAACTTCATGTGTGTATCAAGCATGTATTTCCAAAAACACCACACTCTTAATATTATGTTGCATTTACAGTATGTCTAACAAGCTTCCTTAATAATAATTTGATCTATCGGTTGAATTTTTAACATCTGTTTCTGTTCGTCTGTGTGTTTTATTTCAGGTCTGTTCCCGGCTGTGTTGAACTTGGCCTCCATGGCAGATATCTCCACTAATGCGACCTGTGGTTCCACGGGTCCGGAGATGTTCTGTAAGCTGGTGGAACATGTACCCGGCCAGCCCATAAGAAACGCTCAGTGTCGAATCTGCAACCAAAAGAGTACAACACCCACAGGTAAGACAGACTTATAGGCATTCTGATTACAACAATTAATCAAGCTCGATTAGTTAATTAGTGCCAGCTTGGCCAGATGTTAACAAATCCGTTTGTCTGAAATGATAATCACTGAATGAACTGAGAAATCAATCGCGACATGACAAGATGACAATAGAAAATTAGCCTGCGATCATAATTCATACAAGACAGTTATTTAGTCAATCAATGATTCAGTTAACCATCAGTTAGTCGCTGAAGCAGGCCGTCATCAACCAGCCAGTCTGTCAGCTAATGAGTGCAGTTGGCTTTGGTTACACCTGCTTAGCTAGCTTTGCTTAGTTAGCTTAGCAATCAGACAGTTAGTCAACCAGCATGAGAGGAGAGAAGAAGGATGAAGCGGGTTTTTACTGCTGCAGAAAGAGGGGGGAAATAAAGCTTGAAATGATTGTGGTGAAAATGAAACTGAGATCAAAAAGGTATTTTTAAAACAAGTGATGAGTTACATAACAGACTGTCTCTGTCTTTTAAAGGAACTATGGATGATATGCTTATTCTCTTTCTTGCTCAGAGTAAGATTAGATGATGAAAACCACCGTTAAAGTCCCACTAGGTACAATAATTGAGAATGAGCTATAGATTCAAATTCAGACGACTTATTGACGGTTACATTGACAAACAATGGAAATGTGTTTTTAGCCCCGGGAAATAAAGCAACATTCCAAATACACAGTACAACATACAGTTCAAGTGGTCATAAAAAACCTAAAAGTAGTATAGCTATATACTCGATGCAGATCAGTTTCAAAAAGATATCTCTAGACTTCTAGAAATGTTTTATTCTAATATACCGAACCATTCCTAATTGACTTGTTATTGTATTATATATTTCTGTAGGACAGACTGTTTAATTGAATGGCAATGGGAATGTATTTTGATTAAGCAATTCTGCATGTCCATTATTAACTTTCAATGTAAAACCTCTTAGCCACAGGAGGAAAAAACCTGGATAAATGAGGGAAAAGGAAGGATGTAGTTAAAAAGAGGAGAGGAAAGACTCCTTTTACTCTTCTGTCAATAGTTTCCATGGTGTTTGTAACAGAAATGTCACACATAAGTAGCCTGATGATTGACAGCTGCAAGTCAACCCATTATATTCACTTAAAAATACTCTCTCATTCAATTACCACCCAAACAAAGGCTTACACACAGCATACATTAAAGTGTAACAAAGTGACCTTCTCTCTGTGTTAAACTAATAATATGTTTCCTTCCTGTTGCGTCCGAGTTATAGTGCAGAATAGTAACAGCAGCGAGGAGCAGATTCTGCAAATAGGGTGACATTTATTTTTATTCAGAAGTGAAATAAAATAATCTGAAAAGGAAAGAAAAGAAAATGATTTCTCCCTGATAAGGTAGAAATGTGTGCTTTTGATATCTGGCCTTGAATGGTTGAAATGCCAGTTTTATAAAAAAAAAAATGGAAAATGTTCCTCAGTGCTGCATTCAAGACTAAAATGACTTTTTGATATTTGAAATCTAAGATAACATAGAATACAATTACTGATATGACCTCTGACCTAGGGATGCATACCGGTGTCCGGTATTACCGAAATACCGGTTACTGGTGGCTACGGTATACCGTACCAAAATCAGATCCGGTTTTGATACTGAAAAAAATAAAAAAATAAAATCGAAATTTAAATTTTTTAAATTTTTTAAATTTTAAATTTTAAAAGTGAGTCCGTGGCCCGTGATGGCGGGTGTTATAAATTAGATTGCATAATCGTTTTTCTTCATATTTTATGTATTTTTCATTGTTTGTTCAATACTAGAAAGGTAAGTCCCACAAATGAACTGTGATGGGATTTGTTTTCTCTCACCAGTGAAGGCAAATGTTGATTTTAAAGATGAGATTTGTTTGTTTGTGCAATGCCGAGATCTCATGACCTTTATTCTATTATTTATTTGTTCTCTAGTCGAATCTCAGGTTTAACATTAATTATAACGGTGCTATAACGGTCTGTTTGCATTGAGAAGATGTGCTATTCACGCGAGCACACCTGATGGCGGGTGTTATAAAAGATATTCCATAATCGGTTTTCTTCATATTTTTAATGTATTTTTCATTGTTTGTTCAGTACTAACAGGTCAAAGAAGTCCCACAATTGAATTTAATATTCATTTGACATGTTAACTATATCGTAAAGCGCTTCATGGGTGTAATTGTGGGATGATACATTATACAGTATCGCGATATGTATCGGTTAGTATCGGTATCGTTCAGTGGTATCGGTATCCTAAAAAATATAGCATCC